GTTCCATTCCCAGCTTTCCCAGGAATCTCCATATATAAACGTATTTTTTAAAAAAAATATATAGAAAAAAAACCAGACTGTGTAAACAACTGATTGACTATATGTGGTTGGTAGTGAGAAGTGGTAGATATGAAGCCTAGGAACTCAGGATAATGAAGATAACTGTGCATCTGTTTATTGTTTGACATTTTAAGAACAGCATCACTACTGTAGTAGCAAAATTAAAGTGCACTCTTTGGGGGTTGGGAGACTTAGGTTGATCCGGACCCAGACCTGGCCCTCAGGACGCACGGACTAGTCCCGTGCCCAAGTTCAGGAACCAGGCAAAACGCACAGAGAAAGGCTAGACTGCTCTGCCAACCTCCAAAAGGACGCTCGAAAGGGGAGCAGCATTCCTGTCCCGCCCTTGCACATATATCCTCCAATAGAGGTTAGGGAGGGTGGGATTTGAGCGTATCTGAGCTACAATTGGTCCTAGGGTCTCCCCGCCCAGAAGTTGGGCGGAGCAGCGTGGTGACGTCGCAACGCGGGGCGCAGGGGCAGAGAGCGCGCGCTTGCGGACGCGGCGGCATTAAACGGTTGCAGACGCCGCGCACTCGTCGTCGTCTTCTCTAGTCTCAGTCGCCGCCGTGTTTGCCCGCTCTCTCTGGGCCTCGGGAAGCCTAAACTCCGACTAGACCTTACTGGTTTTCACCCAGTTGTAGCTGCGTCGTAGACTTCGTCACCATGTTCGAGGCGCGTCTGGTCCAGGGGTCCATCCTGAAGAAGGTGCTCGAAGCGCTCAAGGACCTCATCAACGAGGCCTGCTGGGACATCAGCTCTGGCGGTGTAAACCTTCAGAGTATGGACTCGTCCCATGTCTCCTTGGTGCAGCTCACCCTGCGCTCCGAGGGCTTCGACACCTACCGCTGTGACCGCAACCTGGCCATGGGTGTGAACCTCACCAGGTGAGTCTCCGGGCCGCGGGGAATCGGGCCCTGGCTCTCCTGCAGCCCCTGCTCTTGGCGGGAGCGCCTCCAAGTCGGGCCCTCATTGGATGGCGTTGGCCGTCTGCGACTTCTCATTGGCCGGTGATGCCGGAGGCGGGACCCACTGGAGCGCGCGGTTCAGAAAAGCCCGCGCTGGCAGCCGAGCGAGCCGGCTTTTTTCCGCGCCAAAGTCACAAAGCCATGGTGGTGGCGGGAAAATGACAATCTTGGCCCCATTGCCTGAAAAAAAGACTGTTTCAGAGTTCTCTGCTCACTAAATTCCCGCAACCTTGAATGGAACATTTAAGGTCTTGATTGACTTTAAATGCCTATAACATGCCCTACTGAAAATGTGTCACTCTGTATAGGGGCAATAGGTTGTTTCTACTCTTTATTTATTATTAAAGTCGCAGTGACTATTTTCAGCTCTAGAACTTGTGGGAAAAGTTATCCAGAGTAGTGCCTATCTAGTACACATGTATGTTTTCATTTAGAAGATTTATGAGAAATATTGACTTATAATACAAGCAGTATTTTAATAGGTCTGTTAGATTTTTTTCCTCCCTTGCTGTGTTGAGGATCAAACACAGGGCTTTGCCGTTTGCTAGGCAAGCATTCTTAGTGAGTTACACCCCTAACGCTAATCCCCATTCCTCCCTTCTTGAGGATTGAACTCCGGTGCACTGCCATTGAGCTACATCTCGAGCCCTATTATATTTTTGAGACAGGATCTCATTAAGTTGCCCAGGAGGCCTAGAATTTGTGATCCTCCTGTTTTGGACGCCTAAGTTGCTGGAATTGCAGGCATGTACCACCACACCTGGCCCTAGATCATTTTTAATGATCATTGTGGTCTGACAGTTTACCCACTGAAAGGATTTATAATTCAGAAAATGCTCTGATTTATACTGGATGAGATTGCTGGTGTTAAGATGTTTAAGGCACTGGGGTCAAACACAGCACCTAATGCATGTTAGACAAGTCTCCACTACAAAGCGGTATATCTAGACAAGAAATCTGATTCTTGAGCAGGTGTTATTGATTTTAAATCCTGTGTCTTTTGTCTTGTTGTAGCATGTCCAAAATACTAAAATGTGCTGGCAATGAAGACATTATTACATTAAGGGCTGAAGATAATGCGGATACATTGGCGCTAGTATTTGAAGCACCGAGTAAGTTGTACCTTTTTACTGAATTATACAAAATTACTGTCAGTTATGTCAGTAATTCTCAAAGCTGTGATAAAGTGTAACATCCTAGTCATGAACACTTTTTTCAGTAACATTTGCTGTCTTTTGTTAGATCAAGAGAAAGTTTCAGATTATGAAATGAAGTTAATGGACTTAGATGTTGAACAACTTGGAATTCCAGTGAGTATCAGTTTCTGATTATGGAGTACCATATAGTCGTGATAATTAATGTAAAAATGTGAATATAATAATTTAAAGCCTATTTCCTAACAACTTTTTATAGAAGCATATCTGCTGGTTCATGGTCCAAACCAGATTTTAGGATTAACCTTATTAATAATGTCTAATATACTATTTTCTCCTTTCTTTTAGAATACAACTAAATTCTGTGTCATAAAATAATGTCTTTTTTTTTTTTTAAACTTGCATACCTCCTGCCTTAACCTAGCTGGGATTACAGGCATGTGCCACTGCATCCTGATTTGTAATGTTCTCTTGATTTAGGCCTGGAAGATGATCATGAGGGGGTTCTTGTTCATTGGATAATGGAATATATTAGGAAATTACAATGAGCTGGGCACAGCAGCCTCCTATAATCCCAGCTAATCAGGAAGCTGAGGCAAGAGGATTACAAATTTTAGGCCAGCCTGAGCAACTTAAGTGAGATTGTCTCAAAAATTTTTGAGCATTAATAAAAAGGCTAGGGATATGACCCATTGGCAGAACACACCTGAGTTCAGTTCCTAGCACTGGGGGCAGGTATGGGAATTATACAATGAGTAATATTTCAAAGTAATCAGAAAGTCTTTAGCTTTTCTTAAAATATCACATCTTAAAGTGAGGATGCCAGGTCTTTACATTTACAGCAGTTAATGTTATCTTTTTTTTTTTTTTGGCAGTGCCTGGGGATCAAACCCAGAACCTCAAATGTGCTAGGCAGGTGCTCTAACATTGAGCCAGGTCTCAGCCCTAACTTTGAGATTTTTTTGTTTTGCTCATAGGAACAAGAGTACAGTTGTGTAGTAAAGATGCCTTCTGGTGAATTTGCACGTATATGCCGAGACCTCAGTCATATTGGAGATGCTGTTGTAATATCCTGTGCAAAAGATGGAGTGAAATTTTCTGCAAGTGGAGAACTTGGAAATGGAAACATTAAGTTGTCTCAAACAAGTAACGTTGATAAAGAAGAGGAAGCTGTAAGTAATAAAATTAAATTTCTGTTTAAGTAAATAGAAATTTTTGAAGACAGTTTTACTGTTTACCACTAGTTTATTTGCCAAAATTAAAGAAAAAAAAACTGTAAATAGCTCGTGAAAACTGAAAGATACTGTTGAAATTGGCAAGTGCCATTTAATTTAAAATTACACCTGTGAAAAGGGAGTGCAAATTCAGCACTTTTACAAACCACAAAATAACGGGGTGTGGATAAAACCCATACATTCTCTACAGTTAGGATTGATACAACCTTTAGCTTTCTGGAGATGCTTACTCTGCATTTCTCAAATTAGGCTGGGATAGCAACTCAACAGAAGGATGGATTGGGATGAAAGTCCAGCTGTTAGAGACAATTTAGACTAAGTGACCTGGTATCAGAATCAAACTTAAATGAGAGTATTTTTCTCATTAAGGCCAGAACATACACTTCATAAAACTTGGAAAGAACTGCGTTAAATGCTGAATATTGATTAGCGTTGAATACTTAAGCTTTTTTTTTTTTCCAGTTTGAGAGAGTGCCTAGAGAAGCCTCATTTAACCAAAACATAAAGAACTCTAGGTCTGAGGGCTTAGTCCAGTGGTACAGCAATTTCCTGATATGCACCAAGTTCTGGGATCAATTCCTAGCACCACAAAAAGGAAAAAAAAATGTATGTCTGTGTTTACACACACACCCCAACATTTTTAAAACCCTTACATATCATATTCAAGAAAATAATTATAAGGAATTTTTAAGCATTTACCTTCCCCTGGTTATTTCAGAACAGTTTGTTTAAATTGGAATTTTAAGTATTTTTTTAGTTGTAGATGGACACACTATATTTCAGGGCCTCACACATGCAAGGCAGGTGCTCTACCACTGAGCCCCAGCCCCAAATCAGGATTTTAATAAGGTTCATACATTGAAATTTGTTGACATTGCCCTTAACTTTCATTTTACCTATTGGTTAACTCTTGAGCTTTTTTTCCCACTCCATTTACAATCTTTTAGTTAAAACTAGATTATTTGTTTTAGAGTTTTCTTAAGTGTGAATTTTGCCAGTTGTATCCCTGTGTGTCAGTTAATATGTATGTGCACCCTGTATTTTCTGTAAATCGGTAGCTACAGCTCTCAAGCTTGATGACATTCAAAGTGTTCTCTTGTTTGTTTTGAGGTTGGGAGAGCCAGAATACTTTAGATGATGGTATGTATCTTCAGTAGGAGACAGAAGGCGAATGGATGTCTTTTTTGTAATGTTAGCTATCATCCAGAGCTGTTATCATTAGGGTTTGCAAAGCTGAAATATAATAGTTTATTTCATTCCTCCTATTTCTTTATTAGCTGATTTATTTATTAGGAGTATTTTCATTAAAAGAAGTTTTCCCATTATTACATTTTAGTTGATGGTTTATATAGGAAAGATAAGCCAAATACTTTTTTGGGGGAGTCCTTAAATTCACTTCAGAGTACTCTTCAAAGTTACCAATAGAAGTGTTTGTTATGGCCTACAACTTTCTTGGTGTTTTTCAACATGACAAATCTTGTTTTCTCCTGTAGGTTACCATAGAGATGAATGAGCCAGTTCAGCTAACTTTTGCACTGAGGTACCTGAACTTCTTTACGAAAGCCACTCCACTCTCTCCTACAGTAACACTCAGTATGTCTGCAGATGTACCCCTTGGTAAGATGATAATGAATTTGAACTTTGTTTTGTAAGTAGTATATTTGATACTGTCCTTCAGTAATTCACTATTTTCTTGTCTTTCAGTTGTAGAGTATAAAATTGCTGACATGGGACATTTAAAGTATTATTTGGCTCCCAAGATCGAGGATGAAGAAGGATCTTAGGCATTCTTAAAATCTGAGGAAATAAAACTAAGCTCTTTGAGAACTGCTTCTAAAATGCCATCATGTACTGAAAGTCTTTTCTGTCACCAAATTTGTAACTGAGTACATATGTAGATAATGTTTTCTGTAAATAACCTATTTTTCCCCTTCCTTTACAGCTTAAGAATAAAATCCAAAGTCAAATCTGGTTTTGTTAACCTAGAAATACTTCTTTCTGCCTTACGTAGAAATACTTCTGGTAATTTTTATAACAAAAAGGTCTTGTCTTTAAATGCAGTTTTAAGAATTGTTTTTTGATTTAAATAAAGTTATCTGAATTTCAGATGTCACAGAAAAGTGTCTTCATATGAACCATGATGGGCTGCAAATATCTTACCATTTTATGTAAATGTGAGGTTTTTGCTTTTTTTTTTTAGTCTACAGCATCCTGGTATAATTACATTAAGAAAATGGCAATAAATATTTCTTTTATGTTTAGTAGATTCAGTGGCTAGTTTCTATCGTACTTGCATTGAGTTCATTTTCTGGATGTTAATAACTCATCATATTTAGTTGGTATTCACTGCCTACTCTGCCAGTACATGGGGAAGGAAATAGGTTGCAAAGGTGTCTGGAACTTTGGCGGGGGTGGGGGGCTGGAAATATTTAACTAGACTGGTCACAGTTCCAGAACTGTAAAATTTGTATGAATTCATCCAATTGTACTTCACCATGTGTACGTGAGTAGGCCTTATTTCAAAAAGCTTCACATGGTGCAAAAGTCCCTTGTGGGCCAGCCATTTACCAGGGCGAAACGCTACTGGCCAGTGGAGGGAAGGCACAAGAATAGATCTGCTTAGAGTGCAGTGGTAGTCTGTGTCCCTTGAGCACTGAATTGAGATCTGGGTACACTGAAGTCCTGGGCTTACGCCCCCCAGGAGACTCCACTGGCTCCGAGGGTCAAGAAAGGAATCACTGCAGCCTTATCTGGGCCCCTACTATGACCCAGGTGGGCGGGGCCCTATGTACTCTCGCCTGCCACTCTGACGGTGGCCGCGGGCTGACCAGGTCGCAGCAGCTTCCAACACCACCACGACACGCCCGGACAAGCCCCAGCGCTTGCTGCAAGATGACTTCTCCCGCCAAGGGCTATCCTGGGCGCGCCCAGGAAGCGGGTGAGAAGTCGCTCTTGGTGACGCAACATCCGGCGCGCCTTTATCCGCACGCCACTTCCGGCGGCGAGCTGGTACTTGCTAGGTCGGCGGTTAGGTTGGCTGTGCCATGAGGCCTGGGACGCCTCGTCTGGTAGCCGTGGGCGAGTTCCTCTCTAGCTCCAGTCTTAGCGCGGTGCTCCGGTAAGACATGCGTGGGTTGGGGCGGGGCGGGAGCTTCGGTGCACCCCCTCGCTACAAGCCAGTGTTCCCGCCTGAAGCAAACTGGATTTCTCTGCCGGAGTCCTAGATGTGAAGCGTTGGCTTGCTTCGCACGGTTGGCCTCTTTCCAGAAACTAGTTTTGTTTGCTTTTGGTCTAAATGTGGGTCGGCTTTTCCTTGCGTGGGGACGTCCGGAGACGGGCAGGAAAATAATGATATAAAGGAGCGTAATGTCAGGCACTGGGCTTTACTGATGCTCTTATTAACACTTCAGGGGCTGAGGGAATTTGGAGGTTGCGGTGGAGATGGTTAAAAGCCTGTTAGAAACTTTGAATTTTCTTTTTATCTTTACTATGAATAAGTGAATGAAAATATGCAAAAATAGATAGTAAACTGACCAAGATGGGCCCCATTCAACCACACCTGGAGGCTAACTGGTAGACCTATTAATGAGCAGCACCTTCAAAGCCTGTTTCAAAAGTAAAAGACCTTGAGGCTCATCGGTGGGAACACCTCCAGCTAATTCCTTTGTCCCAGAGGTGGAGAATGGAAGATGGGGGTGAGCACAGATGAAGTTAATAGGAAGAAGGATGGCTCATGGGAAGGACAATGGAAGTGAACTGGATGGTCTATTTTACATAGATTTTGTTCCACGCTCTGCCCAAAACAATATATAAACTCCTAAGCTGGCACACCAAAATGTTTTTCTGTTATCAGTCCCCCTCCGCCTTGGCGGGAGTTCTATCTCTTATTGCTTAAATAGATCCTACTCTGTTTACCCTTCCCTTCCGTGATTGTGGATTTTAGTCTTCAAAATTTGGGAGACAAGAACCCAGAAGAAATTGGTGAAGTGGGCAATTTAGTCTCATCTCAAAACTCTGGTTTCATAAGCATTTGTCTCCCCTCTCCTTCTCACACCTTGAGTGTTTTTGTTATATGCAAGTGTGTGAATAATTAATGGAGGATAATTTTTTTTTAAGGATTATACAAATCGGGTATAGTCAAATGCCCTCAAAACTAACACACATTGGTAGTTTGAACTTTAAGTTTTATAGAATTAACTTTAATTAATCGCTACACTAATAACCTAATATTTAATGCACCTTGTTCTAACTCCCCTGATTACTCCAACCCCCCTTACTTGGGATTGAATCCAGGGCCCAGTATGTGATAGGTGGGCATGCTAACACTGAGGTACATCCCCATCCCTCTGACCCTTTTAGAAAAGCATATGGGTTAGCATTACTTGTATTTTTTTCAATACTTGATTACTGGACTAGTGTTAATAAAAATGACAGGATTAGCACCAGTTCTTTCATAATGCTGTTACTTTAAGTAGACTGTAATAATTAGTCAAGTTTTGGTCAAATATGTATACAGCATTTAGAGATGAGCCTGACACCTAACCAAGGCTAAGTAAATGGTAACTGCCACATGATAACTTATAGTCATGATTTACTAAATGTCACATGGAGAAACAGTCTGTTCTGTTGCCCTTGTTGAAATACGTAAGTATCTCAGATGCTTTTGAATTTAAATTTACTTGTTCACATACCTTGGTGACTATATGCAGGAAAAGTGTACATATTTTAGATTTTTAAAATTTAAATGTCATTGCTTTTAAGTCTTACCCACTTTCAAACAGACAATATAGGAATGATTTCATTACTGCCATCTTCAAATATTTTGAACAATAAGCCAGACTTTTAATTCAGGTTTGTTTGTTTAATTCAGTATTTTTAGGTAGCCACACAGCCCAGAAAATGGAATCAAAACTTATCAGTGTTTGGAGTAGAACAGAGAGGGGTATATTAAAGGCATTGGTGTAGTACTAATAGCCAAGAGGTTATCAAAATTTATAAGAATGACTTAAAAGCGTGATATCATCCAACAAGGGGAAATAAGCAAAATGCTGATGTGAGTGTATTCCATTTCCCACTCTCTTTTCCTTCCTTGGTAAATAAGAAAATCACTTGAGTGTATGTTTCTAAGCCGGGGTAGGGGGCAAGAAGTACTTCTTTAGCATCAAGTGCACCTGAATTTAAGTCCCTCTTCCAGTTACTCTCTGGTGACTTTGGAAGAATTAGGGAACACTGGTGGTAAGGTAAACTGGAATTTGATTCTTGGTGAATGTCCTGGTTCTCATTCTATGAGGACAAACCAAATTAAATATGTACTGAGGTTTTTTGCACTGTGTCAAATTGAATATCAGGTTTTAAGAGCAATGAAGCCTAAATCATCAGTTGCAATATGATATGGCAGCCCAGAATTCCAGTAGATAGAATCTGAAGTTGGCTCTAATGTATTATCATCACATACAGACAGTAACACTTTTTTTCATTGTTGTTTTAGACTGTAGCTGTGTCCGTGTGTTATGATGCCGTCTCGTACTAATCTGGCTACTGGAATCCCCAGTAGTAAAGTAAAATACTCAAGGCTCTCCAGCACAGATGATGGCTACATTGACCTTCAGGTAAATGCAGAAGGGAAGTGACAAGATTGGTGACTATTCTGATGAATTAGCAGGAAGACCTTCATGGTGGAAGTTTTGCTAATTGTCCCTGAGGATTGGAATGAACAGTGAGAAGTAAACTCATTTCTGAGACTCTTAGCCCTAGCTTGCTGAAGCAAACCTTGTCAGGGCAGTTTCAAACCAATTCCAATATTATCTATTTCTTGGAAAAAAAAAAAATGTAATTGTAGTGCCAGAGTCCTATAGTTGTACTTTATTTAGTGTCCAAAAATAATCAGATTTTAAGTGGATTTGTGTTAAGGATTGTTTATTTACTCTTTAGTCAAAGTCAGTTCATCTTTTAAGGGAGAAACTAACTGCTGAAGCCAGCAGATTGTGGGAATCTTCATTCTTTCCTGATGTCATGAGATCCAATTTATTAAAGGTATTCTTTGATAAACAGTAAGTAAAACAGAATATTGATAAGTTTATATTCTACCTTGACCATTATCTACAAAATAGTAGCATATCATCTCTTTTTGCCCACTTCCACTTAAAGTAGAATATTCTAGATAAAACTAGAAATAACAGGAACCCATCCTTTTAAATATAAATAAATCAATTATTGTTTGTACTCTCTGGACCCATACTTAAAGGACAGATAAAAATAGATCTGGGAAGCTTTCAGCCATTTAGCTCAGATTCAACTGTGAGCCAAACATTAGAAAGTTTGTGTGTGAATCTTAAGCTTGAATTGAACTGTTTGAGTGGTAATGCCTTACAAAAAAAATTGGAATTTTCTGTTTCTAAAAACCTTCCAGGGTGTACAGACTTAACTTTGGATGCCAAAAATCTCTTAACTTCTTTACTTTTCCTTAGCATGTTATAAGTTAGTACCTGTGCAAGGCATTTAATAAATGTATAATGAACAAATAACCATAAAGTAGTTCCTGTTTTTATTTCTTGGAAAAAAAAATTAAGGTACAGTGAATGGTGTGTGGAATTAGTTAAAACTAGAAAATATGACATTTCATTGGAATTCCTTTGAGTAACCTGTCCTTTCCCTTTCTCTCCCAGAGTTGCACTGGATGGTAGGACATATTTCAACACACTTGAAGTATCCAGTTTGGTTCTTAATTATCCTCCCTGCTTTAAAGTGTTTTTGCCCTGGTAGCACTGGTATTTTCATAATGATGTTCTTTGTCTTTTTTGTTTTTGTTTTCTCTTCCAGTTTAAGAAAAGCCCTCCTAAGATCCCTTATAAGGCCATTGCACTTGCCACTGTGCTGTTTTTGATTGGCGCCTTTCTCATTATCATAGGCTCCCTCCTGCTGTCAGGCTACATTAGCAAAGGGGTAAGCTGATGGGCATGTGGGAATGTGTCATGAGATCTTTAAGACAAGAGCCACAGCTGTAGTTTCCAGCAGAAAGAAGAAAAAGATTTTCTTTTAGTCCCAATGATGAGTTGCCATGCTAATACTGAGCCACCAGATAGGGCAGTATTGCCCTGGTTTGGGTG